TTTTTTTTTTTTTTTTTGGTACCGGGGATCAAACTCAGGTCCTTGCGCTTGTGCAGCAGGCGGCGGCGAAACCATTGAGCTAAATCCCCGGCCCTGTTTTGGTTTAGTTTTGATGTTAATGGGGATTGAACCCAAGGTCTTCCCACTGAGCTCCGTCCCGTCCTTTTTTTTATTTTGAGACAGAGTGCCACTAAGTCCCTAAATTGCCCGGGCTGGGCTTGAACTTGTGGTCTGCCTGCCTCAGCCTCCCAGGGTATGGGGATGACAGGTGTCTCACCACACTGAACAGTCTCAGGAGCTGAGAGGCTGTGGGTGGTCGCACTCAGCCATCAAATGGAACCTGAGAAGGAAGAGTTCTCCAGGACGTGGAAAGCTGCAAAGGCTGTAAGAACTGAAAGCTGAGTCTCCACCCTGAGAAATCACTCAGATGCTGCTGTTGTTGCTAATTAAACTGGGACTTCTTAAAAGTGCACGGTGAGAATTCTGTCTGCACTGTGCCCATTTCCACGTGAAGGAACTCCTAGTTCTCCTTCCAGAAGTCTCCACCCTTTCCAGGGGTTGAATGATTGTTCCTGCTTAACAGGGCTGAAACCATTTTCTTTGCTAGCACTAGTGGTAATAAAAGTGGCATCTGATTTCCAGTTCTCAGATCCTGCAGCCACCTCTGCCTCTCAATGGGTCCTGAATTTGGAATCAACTGAAAAATGCCAGGTGTCTGGGAGATGCCAACCCACAGGAGAGGGGTGAGCCTGGCACCCAGCAGAGCCGCACACAGGGAAAGGAGCACTGCTGTGGGGCCAGACCAGGGCGGATCCTGGAGATTGCATTTGGCCAGGGATTAGCCACCCTGAGTTCAGCTTCCTCTTAAAAAGTAGGATCAGCTGACACTGGGCATCTTAAAGACTTAGCAAGACCCTGTCTCAAAAAATTAAAAAGGACGGGGGAGGCAGCTCACTGCAAAGGCCCTAGTACCACTAAAACAACAGACCCAGCATCCATCAGCACCCTTAGTTACAAATGACAAAACTGCCTTTAAAAAGGAACGTGTGGTGGTACACACCTGTTGTCCCACCACTCAGGAGGCTGAGGCAGAAAGATCGCCTGGAGTTCGAGAACAGCCTGGACTACATAGTGAGACTGTCTCAAAAAAAACCAAAAAACTGAGCCAGGTGGTCATTTGTAATCCCACCACTTGGAAGGCTGAAGTAGAAGTTCACCTCAAAAAAACAAGTTTATTAAAAGGGCTGGGGCGGTCCCCCTCAGATCTCAGGGGGCTCTAGTTGAGCTTGGCACTTTGCAGTCAGAACAAACCCCACTCCCAACAACAAGCCTGCTCTTGGAACTCAGCAGTACCACCAATGGCACCCAACTTGGACCCTCCAGCCAGAATCTCTGCCCACACCCTCTAGAAGCTGGGTCCATAGGCTCCCACCTTGGCCAGAACACACCCAGGGTATGGCCTCCTCCATCACCAGCCCCAGCCAGACTTCCTCACAGGTGCCATTGGTGGACCTGAAGTCATGTGGGCGTCCCACTGTGAGGGATGCTGGGAAATAAGATGGCTTCTACCTTAGGACCACCAATCAAACTGGGGAGAATTTAGGGACGCTGTAGAGTCAAAAAGGACAAATGGGGCCGGGGATTTAGCTCAGTGGCACTGTGCCTGCCTTGCAAGTGCAAGGTCCCAAGTTTGATCCCCGGTACAAAAAAAAAAAAAAAAAAAGACACATGCTTCCCAGACTCCCAAGAGAGTCTGGAGATGAAAGAGACAACAGCTTCATGGGTTAAGATAAAGAGAACAGTTTTATTGTCCCTGCAGTGGCTCCCCAAACCCCTTAAGTTTATGCCTCTCCTGCCCTCCCCAAGGCACCCACTGGAGGAGGTGACAAAAGTGGCAGTGGAGGGGAGGAGGAGAAACACCTTTATTGGAAGAACAGTGCAGACACGGGCTGGGGGATGAGTGAGAGTACAGGAGTGGGTCCCAGGAACCAGCACCATCCCAAGTCCCCTCCAGGGGGCTGCCCGGAGATGGGTGGTTGATAGGACCCTGGGATCCCTTGGGAGAGGCCATTTCGGGAGAGAGGGAGGCAGGAGGCCTGGGGTTCCAACGGAGAGAGGGCGAGAAGCCACCTGGTTTCACCGATCCATGCTGTCGTCCATGGGACTGGAGAAGCAGGTCTGCAGCAGCTTCTCACAGAACTCCAGCTCCTCCTGGGGTAAGGCGAGGGGTCCCGTGTGAGGAGGCCAGGGCTGCCTCCAGCACGCTCAGCAGATGGCACAAGTCCACCGGCCCATCCAAGAGCCACCCAGCCTCACCAACCACGATGAGGCCCAGATGGGCTTCCCCTTCTTGCCAGCTCTGAAGTGCGCAGCTGGGACCTGGGGTCTCCCACACTGTGCTCACAGCAGCCCCCCGGCCCTTTCGGGCTCCTAGGCAGTCCCGTCATTACTCCCAGCCCCAACCCCTTAGATACAAACCCCAGAAGCCAAGAAAGAACACACTGGCAGGTTAAACCCAAACAGACGAGGTATCTCCGTGGCAGAAAACTCCAGAAACAAAAATGAATAAAAAACAAGTTGGAGGACAAACAGCCAGGCAGAGATGTGGACATTTAGTGTCAGCTGCTTAGGAGGGTGGAGCAGGAGGACCATGTGAGCTCATGCGTCAGAGAGCCTGGGCAACACAGCCAATCACATCTCAAACACACACACACACACGCACACACACACACACACACACACACGAGACACATGCAGAAGGTGACCGATGACAGGCTAGGGTACTGGGGATGAAACCCAGGGCCTGCACATGCAAGGCAAACGCCCTACTGCTGCAATGCATACCTGGCCCTTTCTTTTGTTTGTTCCTTTTTTTTTTTTTTTTTGGTACCAGGGATTGAACTCGGGTCCTTCCGCTTGCGAGGCAGGCGGTGGAACCAATGAGCTAAATCCCTGGTCCCTCTTTTGTGTTTGTTTGTTTCCAGTACTGGGGATTGAACTCAGGACCTCGTGCCCTGGCCCTTTCTTTTTGAGACAGATCTCAAGTTGCACAGTCTGGGCTCGAACTTGTGGTTCCACTGCCTCAGCCTCCTGAGTAGCTGGGATTACAGGTACATGCCATAGCACCCAACAAAAAAGCTGGTTATTTTTTTTTTCTTTGTCATACTGGTTATTGAACCCAGTGCTTTCCCACTGAGCTGCATCCCAGCCCCCGCGCCCCATTTTAAAAATTTTAAAAAAAATTTTATTAGTACATGTGCAGTACATAATGATTACATTCAGCCCTTTTTATTTTTTTATTTTTAAAATTTTTTTATTTTTGGTACCAGGGATCGAACTCAGGACCTTGCACTTGTGAGGCAGGCGGTGGCACCACTGAGCTAAATCCCCGGGCCCAGCCCTTTTTATTTTTTGAGACAGTGTCTCTAGAGTCAATAAATTGCCAAGGCTGGGCATGAACTTGCAATCCTCCTGCTTCAGCCTCCCAGAGTGCTGGGATGACAGACATGGGCCACCACCACACCCAGCTTCGTTGAAATGACTGAATAACAATGAATATGTAAGTAACTGTGATTGATCACTTGTAACTTACCTATCTAATGAGTTATTACTTATCTATTTAACTAAACAATACATTATTTATCACTTCTTACGCATTACCCAGTCAATTAAATAACTGCCCTGTTTACTTACCAACTCAGTGACACTGAATGAACTCTTCCCCTCCGCCTCACTGACTGACCTGCCCTCCCTGCACCAATCTAGCCAGGGCACAAGTGAGGCAGAGAGCGACAGGAGGGGAGAGGAAGCCGGAGCCAGCCGCCCACTGACCCAGCGCCCGCACACCTGGTACTCCTCGCGCTGCTGCAGCAGCTGGCAGCGGTGGCGTAGCAGCTCCTCCAGCCCCAGCTCAGGCTCCCGGCATTCGCGCACGCCCTGGGGGAAGTCTGTCACCAGGCTGCAGGGAGACGGCATAGCCTTAGGGACCCGGCCACACAGACCCAGGCCTGGCTCCCTGCCCACCCCCGCTGCTCCACGGCAGCCCGAGTGTGTCTCTGCCCTATGCTAGGGCCTCAGTTTCCCCATCTGCAAAATGGACCTCCAGCTGTCCCACACGGCCCCAGGAATCACAATGAGACCAATAACAGACAGGCGTGTGCCACCCGCCTGGCACAGGGTCAACCTCAGAACCTGCCTGCTCCATTGATCCATTCTGCTTTTTGTTGTTGTTGTTGTTTTTGGAGACAGGGTCACACTATATAGCCCAGGCTGGGCTCGAAGTTGTGGCAATCCTCCTGCCTCAGCCTCCCAAGTGCTGAGATGACAGGCATGAGCCACCATACCTGGTGACTCTGCCTTTTTTATAAACACTAATCTGATCATAATGGTGAGCGGGGGCACAGACCTCCTTCTCCCAAGGTGGTCACGTGAGCTGCACAGGTGAGGAACTGAGGCCCTGTGCCCTCTGCATTCCTGAACTCCTGCCCATGCCCACAGGTTGGTCCACGCCCGGGGCCCCCACACACCTGCACAGGGCCCCAAGCACGTGCTCGTGGAAAGGGCTGTGTTCAGTCTGCACGAGGGCCACCAGCTGCTGGACCATCCCCATGGAGCACAGGGTCCCTGGGGAGGGAGGGCTCGGGTCAGAGGGCAGCCCTGCCCTGCCCTGCACTGGCCCACACCCAGCCCGGACGGAGGCTGCCCCACCTTTGTGCTCCGGGTGGCCCACCAGCAGGTTCTGCAGCAGGAATGCCGACTTCACCTTGAGCTTCTGCACCTGCTGCTGCATGGCCCGCATCAGCACGGAGAAGCCGTCCAGGCGGAGGAACTGCAGCAGCCCTGCCTCCTGCTCCCGCACAAGGCCTGGGGGAGGGCGGGCTGTGAGGTCAGGGCCAGCACCGCCGCCACCACTGTCACCACCGTCACCATCACCACAGCCATATCCCCAGCATCTGCACCACCAGCCTCACCATCATCTGTCATCAGCACCGTCCCACAATCGCCACCAACAGCATCACCACAAGCATCAACGCAGCTGTCATCGCCATCAGCACCACTGTCCCATCCAATATCGCCATCCACTCCACTGCCACTGCCATCGTGACTATCAACGCCCCCGTCCTCATCCTCATCACCACCTCAGGCTCCATCTCCGTGGCTTTCCATGGGCCTGTGCCAGGTTCGCACTATCTCTGAAGCATCCTGGAGGTATGGACCACAATCCATCTAACTCACCGTTCAAGCGCACGACTCAGTGGTTTTCAGTGCAGCCAGAGGTCGGGCAGCCATCACTACTGCCGGACCCCAGAACAGTTCCATCACGCTGGTCCCCATGAGCTGTCACCCCCAGCCCCGTGTCTATGCTTGCCTACCCTGGACACTTCTCAGAAGCGGATTCATGTCCTAGGTGGCTTGTTCCACTCACCCTTCCTTCGCTCAGCACGTTTTCAACATCCATCCACTTTGTAAAGTCTACTTTCATGCCTGAGTGGTATTCCATGGTACAGACACACTAGGGTTTTTTGTCCACTGATCCACTGATGGGCGCATTATCTCTTTTAACCCTCCCAACTATCTCAGAAGTTAGAGCTTACAGATGGGGAAAGCTAGCTTTAGCTTAAGCAGTTACTTCCCACCCATTTCACAGAAGAGGAAACTGAGGCCCTACACCCAGGCTATGGGGCGTGCAAGGCCTTTGCTCCTAGAAGACCTTTGTGAAGGCTTAGGCTGAGCTGCCAGAACAGCCCGCACCTGAGGCCCGACAAGTAGCAAACCTCCTGTTCCAGGGCTGTTGGGAGCAATGCTACATAATTCTAGGGAAAAATCATTTGAGTAGGCCTAGTTCTCCTGCCCACAGGCCAGCTATAACATTCCAGACATAATTCCATTTTGGCCTTGGGTCACAACTGAGACCTCAGTGATCCCGGATGCTGTAATCTCCAGGACAAGACCACACCTGCAGGAGACACCCTGGGAGGAACCAAATCTTCATCTGCGTAGTTCCTCATTGTTCTCAGATTTCCGCAGCCCCCCCCCTCTTTTGTTACACCTTGTTTATCCCAATGTGAAGTACTGAAATCTACATATTCATTTGTTACATCTGTTTCTCCTGATGTACTAAATAAAAGGTGCATTAAGATGGGGGCTTTGTCTTTGCCGCCCAGAGCAGCACTGATCGGACCCAAAGCTCAGCTTCTTCTCAGTCTCATTTTTCTACCTTTCCTGTCATTTGCCGTGTGCTGCCGTGGCTCGCAGGAGACTAAGACTTACTGCAGAGGTTCAAGTAACGTTCCCTTCCCCTGTTCCCTACACAGGGCAACTCATCTGAACCTGGAATGGGGTAAGGTATTTTCCACTGAACACAACTTCACATCAACCACTGAGAATCCTACTTCTGAGTTGAGATGTGCTTTAAGTGTAAACTAAAGCCCAGGTTTTGAAGATTTGGCATGACCAAAAGACAGAAGGCATTTCATTAATATTTCATATCAATTATGTGTTGAAATTATAATAGTTTAGATATAGTAAGTTAAACTAAAATGTTACTTTAAAAAAATAAAACAGCCAGACATGGTGGCACACGCCTGTCCTCCCAGCACCTGGGAGGCTGAGGCAGAAGGATCACTGCCAATTTGAGGCCACTCTGGGCTACATACTGAGTTTGAGGCCAGCCTGAACTACATAGTGAGACCCTGTCTGAAAACATACAAAAAAAATCACTGTTCACTCCCCTCAACCTCCACCTCTCTGCTAGGTTATCACCATCAACCCTGCCTACCGCCTACTGTCCACCCCCTGCCTGGAAAGCGCGAGGTCCTGAGTTCGATCCCCAGTACAAAAAAAAAAAAAACCCACATCATTCTGGTGGGTAACTTCTACTCAATTTTGCTATGAACCTAAAACCTGCTGCTCTAAAACAAGCCTCTTTTTAAAACCCTAAAAGCAAGACACCTGGAGCCAGGTGGACGGAGCTGCAGTGTCTTGGCATTCTCCCACGGGCCTGCCCAGGCCCCGCACAAGCCCATCGGAGCCCTCCTCGTCCACGTCTTCTCTGGCCACACAAAGTGCCACTCAGGAGCGCAGAGGCGAGGGCAGTAAGCGCACAGCCTCAGGGAGCAGCCACGTCACAGCTTGGACGGGGCCAGCCCACACCCGCTCCCAGCACGGAGCTCCCTGGGGGCAGCCCAGACCCCACAGCTCACTGGGAAGGGCACAGGCGGCTCCCCAGGAGATGGCAGGGTGGCTCTCCCCTTCTGGCTTGGTTCGCTGGCTTCTGGGCAGCCGCCGCTCTGTGAGGCCACTCACGCAGCCCGTGGCTCCTGCCCACCACCAGAGAGGACGAGGCCAGGCAGGTGCCCAGTGCAACCTCAGGGCACCATGGAGCCCCATCAGGCACAGCCTGCACAGAGCTCAGCCTACTCCTGGAGGCCCTGGGACAGACACGGGGCAGGGGCTCGACAGGCCACACCCAAATGGTAACCCAGAGGGACAGGGAGAGAGGACGTAGGTGCAGAGCAGTCTGCAGGTCTGTGTCCAGGTACAGCGTGCATGGGGAGGGGATGAGCAACACGCTTCACACCACACGCACTACACATGCGCCCACACACGGCCCCCACACGCCACACACATGATGTGCACACCACCACGCCACGCCACGGTGCGCACCTCATGCCACGCACCTGCACCGCCCCCACTCCCACCCCCACGCCACCCCTCCACGCCCATTAAATCTCCAGGAGCAAAGGGAGCCAGGCAAGTCTTCGGAGTAAGAAAGGGGCCAGTGGCACGGGGACACCCCTGCATCCTTCTGTACCTGTTGTACTGTGAGCAATGTGACCATCTTACCCATTCTCTTATATTGTATTTAATTTATTTAATTACTTTTCTTTTTTGTTGTTGGCTGTTTTTTTGTTTTTTGTTTTTTTGTTTTTTGGTACCAGGGATTGAACTCTGGTCCTTGAGCTTGCGAGGCAGGCGGAGGAACCACTTAGATCCCCAGCCTGTATTTCTTTTTCAAACAGAGTTGCTCTGCTGGATCCCCCCCAGATCTGGCTCCTGCTGCCCTGGGCCCCATCCCTCGCCTCCATGTGGAGCTGCCCACCTGTGCCTCCTCCCTCGGGCTCCTCCTGCGTCCTCCCTGTCCCTCCCTGGCTTCTGTACCCCACTAGGCAAGGACAGGCCACTGGAGAGCGGGCGCAGGACCAGGCTTGGTGCAGATGGAGGGAGCGTCACCACATGACCCCCGAAGCCCCCCAGGCCCCTGCCCCAGGGAAATGAGAGCATCCCGCTCAGACCCGCATTCTGCAAGTGCTGAAAGAACCCAGATGTCTAGTGGGGGAGGGACAGAAAAAATGTGCACCAAGGTCGCTAGCCCATAAAACGGGATGAGGTACAGATGCGTGTCACACAAGCATGAGCTTGTGCCCTGAAAAGAAACCCAGACCCGAAAGCCACACAGGCCCAACTCTGTTTACACGAACAGTCCACAATGGGCACAAAAGAGACCGGGAGGGAGCGACGAAGGAGGCTGCTTCCTGCGTCTGGGGCCTCATGTGGGGACGACGAGACAACTCTGGGAATGGACCAGAAAGTACTAAGTTGTAGGTTCAAAAAGGATGGATTCGGGGCTTATGAATTTTATCTCAAAGAAGCCGTTTCAAATCCCAGCCCCTGAAAGGCAGGAGGACTGCCGCAAACTCAAGGCCAGCCTGCATAGTGAGACTGAGTCTCAGAAACTGGGGGAAAAAAAAGCTGTTTCTAGGCTCCACCCACAGGAAGCCCACGAAGGGCTCGGACTGCTGTGTGTCCTTGCGGGGCCTCCCTGGCCTGGTCCCTCCTGTGTGAGGGGCACGATCCTCTAGACCTCAGCAGGTGTGTGGAGACCAGACAAGCACCCCAGGCGGCTCCAGCCCAGCCAGGTCTCTGTCCATGCCTCCATTTCCTGAGACTGGTGATGAAAACAGCGCCCATCCCCAGGCCTGCTGGAGAAGCAGCATCCATGCGGAGCCATGGTGGCTCTTGGCTGAGGGCATCTCTGGTTGTTCTGAAACGGCCCCAAGAGGGCCAGAAGCCAGGGGTAGTGGTGCCTGTGATCCCAGCACTCAAGAGGCTGAGGCAGAAAGATCCCCACAGGCTCTAGGCTAGCTTGGGCTTTACAGTGAGTTCAAGGCCAGCCTGAAGTACAAAGTGAGACCCTGTCTTGAAAAACAACAGGCAAGGTGCTGGGGTGAGACTGGAATAGCCTCTACCACTACCATCTTCGCCTCGCTCCCCGCTCCCCACTCCCCACACAGCCCACGGCACAGGGAATCGAGGGCTGAATGGGTGCAGCGGGACCCACCCGAGGACAACCCTGGCCCAGCCCTCCCCGTTCTGGGACACTTACAGGAGATGGCGAAGAGCGCCTTGACACGGACAGTGTCGCAGGGGTCGCGGTCGAGCAGCCGCAGCAGCTTGCGCAGGGCACCGAGGCCCAGCACCTGCTCCTGGATGGCCGCCACGTTCTGGCTGCACGTGCCGATGAGCTGTGCTGCGCGCCACCGCAGCCCCGCAGCACCGGCCTCGAGGTAGCGGCCCACCAGCAGGTGCATCCCCGACAGCTGGCAGAAGTCTGTGTACGCATGTGCGGGGGGGGGGGTGTCAGGGCTGCGCTTTGCCCCGCCCCCAACGTCCTAATGCCCAGACCCTCAGCAGGGGACTGTGGGAAGCAGGTGGGGAAGGGGCTGCATGATGGGCTTGGGGTCTCAATTGGGGGTGACAGAGCTCTTGCAATAGACAAGAGGCGACAGCTGTGCAACATGATGCATAAACTAAATCCCATGGGACTGTCCCTAGGGAATTTTACCTCAGTAAGAAATAACTGGGGTGAAGACATATGAGAGAATGAATGTTCCTGTATCCCATCTTCACCAGCACTGTTTCCTTATTGAGAAAAAAATCAGCCAGGTGGACTGGCACAGGCCTGTCACCCCAGAACTCTGGGAAGCAGAGACAGGAGGATCACTAGCTCAAGCCCAGACTGGGCAACTTAAGTGACTTAGTGAGACCCTGTCTCAAAATAAAAAATAAAAAGGGCTGGGGATAGAGCTCAGTGCAAAGGCCCTGGGTTCAACCCCCAGTACTGCAAAACTAAAATAAACACAAAAGCCCCTGTGGACTGGGCTGGGGTGCCCTGCCCAGTGAGTCTGGGGACACTGGGGTCCTAGCAGGGACTGAGCATGCTTATAATGTCCCGGACCAGGGCCCTGCCCCTGGAGCCGTGTAGGTGGAGACCCGCATGGCCCTGAGATCTCACCCTCACCAGCCCATGGACTCAGGAGCTAACCAGGGACCCCAAAAGCTCCAGATACTTGCCCCTGTTCACAATGCCACAGAACCGCATGGCCGGACTGTGCGCCTCAGAAGTGACCCCTACTTTTCAGTAGAAATGGGGTCCCACGGGCCCCACTGCATGAGAGTGAGCCCCACACCATGGCCCTTCAGGCTTCCTGTCATTTCACTTCCCGGGGCAGCTCCTTATGGCCTCCAGGCCCTACACCACCTCTTCCTGCTGCCAGGAAGCATTTTCCAGAGAGAATCCCAGGACTCCACCTCCACTTCAGGTCTCTGATCAAATGCTGCCCCTGCCCCTCAGGGAGACTGTCCCTGGCCACCTCCCTTCTCATACACTAGAGAAGAGCAGGGGATGCCTGGCACCCTAGGAGGGAAAAGATCAGTCAGGTCTCATCGTGAAGGGGTGGGCCACAGCAGTCACCATGGGTTAAAAGGCCTCGCTCCTCACGGCAACACAGGACTGGCTAGAGGCTGGGAGGGCTGGAGGTGTCAAGAGAAGAGCAGAGGGCACAGGACAAGGGGATACCTGCAGCATTGTCCATGTTCTCACACAGGTCAGCCAGCAGCTCCAGGGCCCCCTCTCGTTCCTGCTGGTCAGCAGCCAGTTCGGTCTCCCCAGCTGCAGCAGGCATGGGCTGGGATAGCACTCGGAGGCAGCTCTTCATCTGCTCTACCTCCTCCCGCTGGCCACGGAAGGCAGCTGACATGGCCTCCTGCAGCCACTGCCGCCTCTGGGGATGAGAGTGGGAAAGAAGGTGTGGATCAGTAAATCATTTTGGAATCATAAATGACAGCTGTAGCCTGGTAAGCCACATCTTGTAATCCCAGCACTCAGGAGGCTGAGGCAGGAGGGTCATGGAGAGTTTGAGGCCAGCCTGGGCTACACAGTGAGTTCAAAGCCAGCCTGAACTGCATAATGAGACCAGTAAAACCAAAAGTAACAATAATACTGATGATGATGACAGCCAACATGTGAGGGCTCACTGTTCTTTCCACTAACAAATATCTCCAGAGCACCTTTTTTTATTTGGTCCTCTAGGTAATAGGACCTCTGCCCTGAGCCAGCCAGGCAGAAACTCGTCCAGTGTAGGGAGGGCTCATATTCTGGGGGGGGAAGAAGATGACAGAGACAAGCACAGCATGCAGTCTGTGACACAAGATGATAGGCATCATAGGGCAAGGTTAACCAGAGCAGAGGACAAGGATGGCTGAAGTGGAGCTGCAGGATTTCATGGTGTTTGAGGAACCACATGTGAGTAAATGAGTAGATGAGGAGCCAGGTGTGGTGGTGCACACCTGTATCCCAGCTACCCAAGAAACCCTGTCTCAAAAACCAAAAAGGGCTGGAAGTGTAGCTCAGTCAAAGAGTTTTCTCTTCTCAGGGTTCAATCCCTGGTACCACAACCACTACCAACACAAAATCGTATATAATAAAATTTGCTATTGATCTTCAAAAGGTCTCATTGTTCACAGATGAGAAAACAGCCACGGAAAAGTTGTGCTGTCCAAGGCAAGGTCACACAGTCAGCAACTGGCAAAGCCTAAAGTCAAACAGATACGTGTAGGGCATGTGTGCAGCCCTGCTGAACTGGAACCTCAGAAGTGCCCTATGAAGTACTGTTATTACTAATCTTGGGCCGGAGATTTAGCTCAGTGGTTTCCCCGCCTGCCTTGCAAGCGCAAGGGCCAGAGTTCGACCCCCGGTACCAAAAAAAAAAAATGTAAACATACATTACTAATCTTATCATCATCAATTCGTAAATGAATGAAGTTGAGATTCTGATGAATATATCCAAGGTCACACTGCTAGACAGTGCTGAATCCAGGTCTAGAGAGCCTTTTGTTAAAAAAAACCCACGAGGCTAAAAAAAAAAAAAAAAAACCATGAGGCTCTTTGGCTTCCCAGAACAGTGCTGGGGCCGGGGATTTAGCTCAGTGGTTCCGCTGCCTGCCTCGAAAACCAAGGACCCGAATTCGATCCCCAGTACCAAAAAAAAAAATTTTTTTTTTAATTATATAGAAAAATGTTTAAGTACTAGGGCCGGGGATTTAGCTCAGTGGTTCCGCCACCTGCCTCCCAAGAGCAAGGACCCAAGTTCGATCCCTGGTACCAAAAAAAAAAAAGAAGAAGTTTTAATCCAGAACAGTGCTGGGGATCCAGGAATCTGTCTCCTCAGACACCTGACATCTGACCTTTAGTCTACAATGACCCTATGCAGCACAGATATAGCCTACCATCCCTCCACATCTTCCCCCCCGCCCGCCCCAGTCTCGGCTCCACAAGGCACACTTCCCAAGACATCTCTGTCTCCAGGCTCCTCACCCCAGGCTCCATACTTTACCTCCTCGCTCATGGGTTCTGGAGGGGGGTCTGGCTCCATCGAGCCCGCCGTGATGGCCATCTGCAGCAGGCCTTGCAGGTTGCGCGGTGGCCGGGGGTTGCCCGAGCCCTCAGCAGAGGAGCCGCCGCTGCCCCCTGAGGAGCAGCCCTGGGAGGCTGGGGGCAACGCCAGGGGAAGGCGACTGCCCCCCGAGCCTTTGTCCGCCATGGACAGGTTGTGAAGGGAAGAATGTGTTGAGAGATAGAAGGGGGAAGGTGGTCAACGTTGAGGGAGCACTGGCGTCCTGATGGGTCGACTCCTGGGGGTCTGCTGAGAAGGTGGCGTTTTAAGGAAGCTCTGCGCCCTCCATGACCCCAAACCATTCTGCTCACTCCCCTTAAACACAGCCCCCAATACTTCCCCCACACCAACAATACCCTTCTCCAAAGCCATAGCCACTTCTTCCGCCCTAGGAACAGGCCCCACCCACTTTCCCCGGTAACAAGCCCTCTCCCCATTTCCACGGCGCGCGTCTTCGTCTCTTAGCAACCCCACTGCCCCGCCTCCTCTGCAATAAGTCAGCCATTCTGTCTCCTTAACAACAACTCTGCTCCCTCCTCTCCGAAGAGGAGCGCCTCAAAGGGGCCGATCTCACCTTCCTGGCCCTCGAGATGCTGCCGCACCTAAAAACAGAGTCTCTCGCACCTGACTCTGCTGGGCGTCGCCATCTTGACCGGAAATGCGTACAGCCTCGCACGGAAGTGCCTGACGCACCCCGCCCCCCAACTTCGCGTGGTTTATAAGGCTGAATCCTTTCTGGGTTTAAACCCTTCCCTCAGGCTGTAGACCGCACTCGGCTCCGCCCCTCCCAGTCAGGCCCCGCCTCCTCCCTTGTACCCGCCCCTCCAGCCCAATTTGCTCACCTTAGCGAGCTCCACCTTCTTATTCTTATTGAAGCTCCACCCACCGCCCCCATTTACGTACCTCTCACACCTCCTGGTCCCCGCCCCTGTTCTAGGTCCTTCCGCCTCTCCCAGTTAAGTCCCGCCTTCTCCTAAGCCCCGATCTGAAGCTGGCGCGCCAGGGGCTTACTCTGCCCACGCCCTTCCGTAGACCACGCCCCTCCAGAGCCACACCCCCTTCGCTGCTTAGGTCTGTCCTGGCCCTCACCCCCAACCTGTGCGGCTTGGGCCCAGCCCCACCTCTCTCCTGGCCTCAGTTTCCCCACTTGTCATATGGGCCTGCAGAGTGGTCGTCTCTAATTCTTCCCTCTGTCTCCAGGTGGAGAGGAGGCGATTCTGGAGGCCGGGCCCAGTGCCTACCCCATAGCTTGAGTCGGACTCAGGGCCCCACAGGGCGAGGCTGCTGGGAGGTCTTGGGGTGTGTGCACCGGTCTAGGCTGAGGAAAGCGGCCCTCGGTCTCGGGAATAGGGCGGCACGGAGGCGCGGAGCACCTACGGCCTTGGCTGTGTAGGTGATGGTTTGGGCGGGGTGGGAAGCAGAAGCAGGCTGGGGCTGAGTGTGCTGTGTAGGGCTGCGGCTGTGGGAACTCTCATACTAGTTCCCTGTTGCTGCTGCTAACAAACTACCAAACGTTGGCGGCTTAAAACAACACACATTTATTATCTGGCAGTGCTGGAGAACGAAAGTCCAAAACGAGTTCCTTCTGAGGCTGCTGGAGAGAATGTGTTCTCTCTGCCTGTTCCGGCTGTCGGAAGCTGCCCTGGTTCCTCAGTGTACAGCCACATGGCCTCACCTCCTGTGACCGTGACTCTGGGCCTCCTTCGTGCCTCCTGCAAGGACCGTAGAGTGACATTGGGCCCACCGGAAATCAGGATGCTCCATAATCACAACAGCAAAGTTGGGGGAATTCGAATGTGGGCATCTGCTGCAATAGATGAAATTATATATCTCACCGTATGGTACAACATGCAATTGTATATGACATGATTTCTTATATGTGAATATATAAATAATACCCTGATGGCCTAGAAGAAATCTCCCATGTACCTTAGAAAAGCCACCAACTTTGCAATAACATGTAAGAAGTGTGACTAAAACTTCCCATCTGCAGTGAGACATTTCAGGGCAAAAGGAGGTGCTATTAGTAATTACACAAGCCAGGCCTGGTGGCTCGTGCCCGTAATCCCAGAACCTTAGGAGACTAATGCAGGAGGGTCACACATTTGAGGCCAGCCTGGGCAACTCAGCAAGACTCTGTCTCAAAATTTAAAAAAAGAAAAATGTAAAAGCTCAGTCAGTGGTGTGGCTCAGTGGTAGAACACTTCCATCATGTGCAATGCCCTGGGTTCAATTCCTAGAACTGGCCCCCCCCAAAAAAGTCACAGATGTGGGTGGCTGAATAGACTTGGATGGGGCCAGGAAGCCAAGGCTCATGGGTACACTCCACAGAGCTTGGGGACCTTCGGACCAGGCAGAGAGGGGCCTTAGATTATGCAGGAATCTAGTGGGGGCCCGTGGGTTACCATGGTTCAGCACATGGGACGTGCTGGTGAGGACTCATGGCTCACACCGGAAACTGCACAAAGATTTCAGGGCCTGGGACAAGCACAGAACACATGAGGGTCTAAGGGGATAGACAAGGTCTCAGGGAACTCCGGAGGTTTCTCTGTGCAAGCAGGGGGAGAATCCCAGTTCCCCCAGCCCCAGGAGACCTGGGCAAGTGAGCCTGGGGAACGTGGACAGGCATGAGTCCTGGGTCGGCAATTCTGAATTCTTCCCCTTCTCTGCCTGCACCTCTCCGATGTCTCCGCAGGTCCCCCAGTCCCTCCGCACGTGTGCACCCCGCTCCCTGCCAGTCCCGTCTGCATCCAGCAGTCTCTGCGGCTCTCTTGCACGCCATGTTCTCCAGGTTTGCTCCCCTGTGTCCCTGCGGCCTGGCTCCCACGGCCCCCATTGATGTCCTGGCTCTGTCCCTCCAGCTCTCTACTGCCCTGCCCGAGCCCCCGGTGGTCAGCGTCTCTCCTGCTCTCTTAGTCTCCTCTGCGCCTGTCTCCACCTCTGTCCGTCTGTTGGCTCCAGATCTCCCTGCATCGCATCCTGCCCTCTACCCTCCCTCCCCCCCTCCGCATCCTGCAACCCTCCCTCCCCCTGCACCCTCCCTCCTCCCGCACCTGTCTCTCCTGCATCCTCCCTCCCCTGTACCCCTCCCTCCCCCTGCACCCTCCCTCCTCCCGCACCTGTCTCTCCTGCATCCTCCCTCCCCTGTACCCCTCCCTCCCCCAGCATCCTCCATCGCTCTGCACCCCGCTCGTCCACCATCTCTCCCCACCACACCCCCCACCGCTCCCTGCGTCTTCCTACCTTCTCTCCATCCTACAGCTCCCAGCACCGCCTCCCCGGGCCCGCCCCTTCCTCCCCTCCCCCTCCCCCTCCGAAAGGGTTAACTTTGGGGAAGGGCCCGGAGTCCCCGGATGGTGATGTCAGCGTGCCGGAGAGAAAGGACGAGGTGGCGGGGGGAGGCGGAGAGGAGGAGGAGGCGGAGGAGAGAGGGCGCGTGGGGGGGCGGGGGGGACCTCGGCCTGCAGCATCCGCTGGCCTGCACCTCAGACCCCCCCGGCCGGGGGAGGCGCAGGAAGGGGGGGTCCGGCCAGGGACGGGCTGGGGAGGGGGGGCCGCGAAGCCTCCCCGGGCCATGCTGACTCCCGGGGCCTGACCCCCCCCCGGGACAGCCCCCCCTCCCCCAGCTCCGTGGCCCGCCGCCGGGGGGGGGCCCAGCGCATCCCCCTGGGGACCCCCGGAGAGGTGGGGAGCAACCGGGGGGGCCGGGACGGGGCTGTCGCCGGCCCCCACCGGAGGAACGGGGCGCCTGGCCGCAGGGGGGGCGGCCGGGGCGCCGGGCAGGCCGGGACCAAGGGCACCATGTCGTCCGGGGCCAAGGAGGGCGGAGGGGGCTCCCCCGCCTACCACCTCCCGCACCCCCACGCGCACCCCCCGCAGCACGCCCAGTATGTGGGCCCCTATCGGCTGGAGAAGACGCTGGGCAAGGGGCAGACAGGTGAGCGAGCGCGGGGGGCGGGGACGCAGGGTGAGGGGTGGGGGACCCCGAAACCCAGGATGGAGGGTGGGGGCGCTGGGCCCCGGGACCGGCGGCTGGGGTCTGCAGCCCAGGCCTGGCAAGAGGAGGAGGTCCGGAGACTCCTGGGTGTGGGGACTCGGGGCCCAGCGCCCGACCCGCGGGGCAGAGGTCGCAGGGGTCCGAGGGCGACGGCGACGTCTCTGCGGTGCAGCTGCGGGCTGGGTGGAGGAGCTGCCGAGCGCGGCCTCCCTCTGCCCCCAGGCCGCCAGAGGGGTGATGGGCAGGGGGCGGCCAGGGTCGCCCATGTCCCCCCTTCTCCAGCACGGAATGGCCCGACCGCCGGCGTCCTCCGAGGGCGCTGAGCAGGGCTGCTGCCTGCAGTCTCCTTCCGGCCTGGGATGGTGGGTGGGCTGGGGAGAGGCAGCTGAGCGCCGGGCTCCAGGGTGCAGGGCCAGGGTCTCTGTGGAGCTCAGGTCCAGGGTTTGAGGTCGGAGGGGAGGAGGTCAGAGTCCCAGGTCGTGGCGTAAGAGTGTGAGGGTGTTGCTGACCTGATTCCTGAGCTGTGAGGGAGGAAGGAAGGGGTCAGGAGCCAGACCCCGGGTCCGAGGGGCGGGGAGGCCGGGCTGGACCTGGGATCTGTGGAAGACCGCTGGGTCTATGACTTTGGCGACTGCTGCCTGGCGCCCAGGCTCCTGAGAGGTGTGGGCTGGGGCTGAGCTTGCCCCTGGAGTCCACATGCTTTCCCTTACAACTGCTGTGACAGGCCAAAAAAGAGAGAACTGAGGGGCGGAGGTATGGGAGAGGAAATGGATGGGGCAGCTGGGGAAGGAGGAGATATGAGGTGCTTTCTCCGGGAGCCCACTCGGAAGACAGGAAGGCAGAGAACACACGGAGCTGACAGGCTGAGGGCAGACGGGGCACAGGTCTGTGGAGACTGGGGAGAGGAAGTGGCAAAAGCTGAGCCTGAGCAGGCCGGGAGGACAGAGGGTGCAGGGGCTGGGAGGCTGGAGCAGGCCGAGCAGGCGGTGGACAGACAGACGGAGGGAGGGGTTTGCAGGAAAGTGGCTGTGGGCTGCCCGCAGCTCAGCTCAGGCTGCTTCCGGCCACTGTTAAGCACTCTGCAGGGGACAGAGGAGGAAACAGGTGTCGGGGGCTCCAGGAGACCACCCGACATTTTTGACCTATTCCCCAGGACTGGTTAAGCTCGGGGTCCACTGCATCACGGGTCAGAAGGTCGCCATCAAGATCGTGAACCGGGAGAAGCTGTCAGAGTCGGTGCTGATGAAGGTGTGTGGGGCAGGAGTCCTGGGGGCCGAGGCCGGTGAGGAGCCTCGATGAACTCCGTGTCCGCGCCCCCAGGTGGAGCGGGAGATCGCCATCCTGAAGCTCATCGAACACCCGCACGTGCTCAAGCTCCACGACGTCTATGAGAACAAGAAATATTTGTAGGTATTTATAGACACCCAGCCCCCCAGCCCCTCCCCAGGTTACTAGGGGAGGTTACTGAGCTCCCCGAAGTTGCTCACATAGCCCCCGGAGTTCCTGTGCTAATGGGGCCGCCTCATATTAGCAGCAGGAGAGCCAGGCCCACGGCGTCCAGGCTAGGGAACAGAGGCTGACCCTCCCCCTGACTCCCCAGCCCCAGGACTCTCCCTCATGTGCTGGGGGAACACTCCCTCCTGGACGGTCTGGATGCCCTCAGCCAGAGCCAATTTACCAAGGCAGTGAGGCCTGGCAGAGCCCAAAGGGTCTTCCCACCCAGGACCCCTGTCCTCCCCCAGACTCCTCCAGGTGCCTTGGCCAGACAACCCAGCAAGGGGCCTCCCTAGAGTTTTGAGCCAGTGTCTCAAAGTCAGTTAACCCCCAGGAAGGACAGGGGTGGGGTCCAGCTGTCCGTGCTCCAGAGAATGGGCTTCTTTGTCCAGACTGGTGGCCCAAAGGACAGCTAGGCTGCGCATCAGGAAAAGAGAAAGACCTCTTGCCCCTGCTACCCAGTCCCTAGGATGAAGTGACTCCAGCAGCCATCAGATGCTGGGGCACGTTGACCCAGGCAGGAAGCTACCCTAGTCCTAAGTGCTCATGGGAATTGTAGTTCTCAGTCTTCCCCAGTTGTGGAGGCGGGGAGGGCATTGTCTCAACAGGTAGAATTACCACTCCACTATCAAAGTGGGGAGGGAGGACTCATGAGAGTTTGTGCTTCCTATGGGAATCTCTACCATTTAAGAGCTCTTTGTTTCCCAGGGACTGATGGGATTTGGAGTCTTTAGGATCCAGGTAGCTGATGGGAATTGGGACTCCAGTTCCCAAAAGGTTATGGGAGCTAGGTTGTTGTTTTGAGGCAGGACCTCACCATGCAGTTCAGACTGCCCTTGAACTCAGCATGTACCCCAGGCTGGCCTCAAACTCACGGCAGTCCTCCTGCTTCAGTCTTCCAAGTACTGGGGTTACAGGCTTACAACACCATGCCCAGTGGGAGCTGGGAGTTTTTGCCCACTCAGGGGTGAAGGGGGTTGTAGTCTCTCATCGGTGCACACTGCAGTTATTACTGTCTAAGAAAGAAAGAGAATTTGGGTTTCTTCTTCTGGGGACTAGTGTGAATTAGAGGATTGCTTTCCAGGGGTAATGAAAGCAGGGTCTTCCAGGGGTCTCTGGCCTCCAGGTGCCAGTGGAGTTGCCTTATCTCCCTAAATAAGGAGGAGGCCAAGTGCTGATCCTCCTGAGGTTGGAATTGAGCTTTGGCTTCCTAGACACTGGTGGACATTGGAGTCACCTTCTCCCAGAAACCATGGGAATTGGGGTTCTCTGCCCTGGAGGGTGAGGGCAGAGGGAGACCAGCCCCCTGGCCCTCCACATGCCCCTTCCAGCCCTCTGCCCACTCTGTGCCCTCCAGGTATCTGGTTCTGGAGCATGTCTCTGGCGGGGAGCTCTTCGACTACCTGGTGAAGAAGGGGAGGCTGACACCCAAGGAGGCCCGGAAGTTCTTCCGCCAGATTGTGTCGGCCCTGGACTTTTGCCACAGCTACTCCATCTGGTGAGGGGCAGCACGACGGGGTGGGCAGTGCGGTTCACCCCAAAACTGATCTGTTTACTTCTTGAGGTGATAACTCAAACCATACAATTCACCTTTCTTATTTTATTGGTGTATTTTGTGTGTGTGGTACTGGGGATTGAACCCAGGGCCTTTGCACTGAGCTACATCCCAAAGTCCCCACGCTCCCTACTTATCTTTTGCAGTTTCGAGACAGAATCTCACTAAGTTGCTGCTTTGCCCAAGCTGTGCTCAAACTTTTGATCCTCCTGCCTCAGCCTCCCAGGTGCTGGGCTTACAGGGTTTTAAAGTGTACAGTTCAGCTGTTTTTAATATGCTGACAGCATTGTGTGTCACTGCTGTGTACTTTTAGGACATTTTCATTACCTTGTACCCATTAAACAGTCAGTCCCCACTCCCTGACCCCAACCCTGGTGGCCACTCATCTACATATGTCTGAGGGCTTTACTACTCTGGACATTTCTTAGAAACAGAATCCTACAATGTATGGCATTTTTGTGTCTGGCTCATTCCACTTAGCACACTGTCCTGAAGGTTGTCCTAGTTCTAGCGTGTGGCAATGCTTCATTCTTTTTCGTGGCTGGATAATATTCCACCGTACGGATAGACCACATTTTGTTCATTCATTCATCCACTGGTGGATATTTTTGTCCCCCCTTCCTGGCTGTACAGACATATGAATACTCATGGACAAGTGAAGTCTCGTGTGTACATTTCTGTGTGTACTTGTGCTTTTTATTCGCTTGAGTATGCACCTCGGAGTATGGTTGCCGGGTCCTAGGGGAACTCTGGGCCGGGCCTGTGGAGGGGCTCCCTGACTGATTCCCAGAGTGGCTTCACAGTTTGCCCCGGGAGCCACGTGTGAGGGCCCCAGTCTCTGCACTTCTCCCCAACACCTGTTCTTTTCTCCTTTGTGATTGTTGTTGTCCTAGGGACTTCAAAGTCCCACCTCATTGTGGTTCTGTTGTGCAGTTCCTTAATGATTTCTGATGTGGGTATCTTATCATGTGTTTACTGGCCAT